CAAAGTACTTGAGTTTCCTCTTCAGGATCTGGCCTTCTAAAGAGCAGTCAGGCTTGATATCCTTTAGGAATGACTGGTTTGATTACCTTGCAGTCCAAGGGACTCACAGGTCTCCTCCAGCACCAGAGTTCAAAGGCCTCCATTCTTTGGCGCTCAACCTTTCTTATGGTCCAACTTTCACAACCATATATTGCAACTGGGAAAACCAAAGCCTTGACTATAGGCACTTTTGACTGACCTCCAATAATGTAGTGTAGACATCATCAATGCTGAGCATGTTGTGACCTAGCATAACATTACTAGTTTGGGTAATGAAATGTCTGCAAGAAAGCAACCAAGCTCAGAGACCACCAAGGACCCCTCATTTCAACTCTAAACTACAAATATTCTCCTTTGTTGTGACTGTGACAAACTGGAGTTTCAGTTCAAAGGAGGGCTACCAAGGTGGTGAAGGATCTGGAAGCCAAAACTCATAAGGAATGTTTGAAGAATCTGGGTGCCTCTGGCCTATAGAAGAGACAACTGGGAGTAAATGCAATATCAAGTTTCAAATATTTGAAGATTTATCACAGTGGATTTATTTTCTGTGGCTTCAGAGTCAATAGAGGACAGGAAAGAATCAGTAGGTTCTTCAAATTGCAATGAAGGGAGCTCAGGGTAAACTTCAAGAGGAACTTCCATATTATATAGGTGATCCACCAGTGGATCAACATGCTAAATGAAGTGGTGGGTTCTCTTTTATGTGCTTGTGATTTGACTTTAGCCTTCCTTGCCTTTTTAAGCGCTCATGAAGTTGAGGATTGATGTCCGTCAATAATGCCCAATGGTGGATAATTACTGTAGCTGCTTCGTTGGTTGGTTGGGATGTTGACTTTAAGGTTAAAGACAACCCCTCCTATTTATTCTAATGTGGAAGACATAGTTGTGAGACCTCCTTGTTGACTTCCAAAGAAGGAGTTAATGACATCCATAAGAACTAGATGATTGGGTTCTATACATCTTATAGGGGAGATTAGTGATGGCTTACTGTGATTAAGAAGCCATCTCAGGGTCCTGGGAGAAATTTTGAAGAACTCTGAAATTTGCCTTTTACGACATAAACTAATAATAGTGGTCCATGGAAAGAATTTTTTCTTTCCATAGACTAGAATTCAGAGCCCACATTTAATTTCTCCACCAGAGAGCTCTACCAGTAATCTCACATCTGTCCAGTTTTCTAACTTTCTAACCAGAGAGAAATTCAACATAATAAATTCCATGTCATTCTCCTGGAAGAAGAAAGAAATCCATTGACCACATTTCATTTCCTGGTCCTTTCTTTGACCCTCTTGAGCTTTCTATCACACCAACAATATTTCATGGCACAATGTTTTGCCTTTCTCCTATTCCTGTCTCCTCCTCCTTCTCCATCTCCTCCTCCTCCATCTCCATCTCTATCTCCATAATCTCCTCCTCTTCCTCCTCCTCCTCCTCCTCCTTCTTCCAGAAAGAAACAGAATAGGTGTATGAAATCACCTTCCACGTACAAAATAATCCAGCTGAAATGTTTTATGTCATCACAGTTATGTCCTCACAGTTTTTCTAGTAGTGCCTGGATTCTGATTTTTTTTTAAAAAAGAAAGAAGCTGATTCCTTTGTTTTATTTTCTTCTTTTCATGCTGTTCTGCCAGCATGGAACAAGATCTAATGCGGGAGAGAACTTACATGTTCTCCATGGAGTTTTAGAACTCTGTATGTGATCCATATGTTGCAGCTATGCTCCCTTTTTTTGCTTGGTCTTTTGTTTAAATGAAAACTAGCGTTCCAAATTGTTTTACAGTGTTATTATAGCCGAAAAGAATAAATTTAACTCGTTCAGAGGATTGGGGGCTTTTTCTTCATGCCGCTTGAGTATTTGTTTTGATTATATAATTCATAAACTTTGACGCAAGCGAGCCCTTTCAAAGAACAAGTGTAGAATTTTTGCTGGCTATCTCAGCTCTAAAGTTTTGAGTTTGCCTTCCAAAAAAAATTAATGAACCAGCTGATGGTCCCAAGATGTGGCAGAATATAAATGTCTATTTTTAGAATCTGCCAGTGTCATTGGAGGTCCTCTTTTGTGTCTGGTCACTTCAAGAAGTTAGTTGATAGATCACGGTATGTTTTTTCTGTAGCAATCTATTTATTTTATTTCTTATTGTATTTGGCATTGACCACTCTTTTGCTGAAGTCGTATTTTCTGCAATCAAGTTTGGAGAAGTTTACCTTGAGTTTGTATCTATTGTGTGCTCGTGTATTGTTGTAGTTGAAGTTGAAGCTGAAGTAGTCATTGACAGGTAGGACATTGTAGCAGATAATTTTATGTACTACGCTTAGGTCAGATTGAAGGCAGCGTAATTCCAGGTTGTCTAAGCCCAAAATTTCAAGCCTGGTGGCCTAAGGGATTCTGTTGCGAGCAGAGGAGTGGAGGACTCTTCTCTTGAACTATCTCTGGACTCACTCAATTGTATTAATGTCCAATTGTAGTGCAGGCTCCAGGCAGATGAGCTGTATTCAAGAATTGGTCTAGCAAATGTTTTGTATGCTCTAGATAGGAGTACAATACTACCAGAGAAGAAGCTACGCAAGATTACGTTAACAACTCTTAATGTTTAATGCAATAATTAAATGCAATGCATATATATGTCTGTGTGTGTGAGTGGTGGGTTGCAGGTGGTATGCCTCAATACGGGTGTTCCGGATCCTGCCTGGAGCACCGAATACCGTTCCGGTACGGTGCTCCGGAGGGCCCACCTGTCTGCCCGTGCTCCTTACCGGTGCTTTATGCCGTTGGTGCTTCTGCGCATGTGCATGGCATGTACGGCGCCTGTCCGACACTCCGCGGAGTAGCTGGAGCATCACGGAGGCTTGCGGAAGCGTCATTTGACGCTAGAACACATGCGTGTATGGGTAACTCTGGAACAGAATCCAGAACCCACCACTGGTGTGTGTGTGTGTGTGTGTGTGTGTATAAACATACATGCAGACACACAACACATTTATGTAGTTATTTTTGTAATTTGATCCAATTTACTATATTAAATTTCATTCTTTTTATGTTGCTCCTCATTTCTGGTGAGACGTCCAGAGTTGGTTGGCATCAAAACTGAATTATGTAAATAAAAATAATGTTCTCAGGAATCTCGGAGAACAAAGCTAACATGCCAAACTTTTCAAATTTTGAGACGATAGATTTCAGGGGAACACTTCAAGTCAACTTCAGAAGAGGAAAGATTCCAACTAAACTTTAAGAATGAATCACCAGTTTGAAAATTGTCCAATAATCCTCTTCTTTGTAGGTCTTTTCAAACTGGTGATTCATTCTTAAAGTTTAGCTAGAATCTTTCCTCTTCTTAAGTTGAATTGAAGAGTTCCCCTGAAATCTATCGTCTCAAAATTTGAAAAGTTTGGCATGTTAGCTTTGTTCTCCGAGATTATTTTTATTTACATATTCAGTTTTGATGCCAACCAACTCTGGGCGTCTCACCAGAAATGAGGAGCAACATAAAAAGAATGAAATTGAATATAGTAAACTGGATCAAATTACAAAAATAACTATATAAATGTGTTGTGTGTCTGCATTGGAGTGTTGATTTCTGGCAGTTGCCACAACTAGTTTCTTCAGGGTTTTTTTTTACAACAATTTTGAAAGTGGTTTGCCATTGCTTTCATAACAGGGAATGAGACAAAGTGACTGACCCAAGGTCATCCAGGTGGATTCATCCCTAAGGCAAAGCCACGACTTATTCAGAGGTCATATTCAGCAGGTTCTGACCAGTTTTGGAGAACCAGTAGCAGAAATTTTGAGCAGTTCAGAGAACTGATAAATACCACCTCTGACTGGCCCCGCCCCCATCTATTCTCTGCCTCCCAAGTACCAGCTGATTGGGAAGAGATGGGGATTTTTGCAGTATCCTTCCCCTGGAGTGTGGAGGGGATGGGGATTTTGCAGTATTCTTCCCCTGGAGTAGGGAGGGGAATCGGAATTTTGCAGTATTCTTCTCCTGGAGTGGGAGCAAATGGGGATTTTGCAGTATCCTTCCCTGCCATGCCCACTAAGCCACACCCAGAGAACCAGTAGTAAAAAAATTGAATCCCACCACTGGACTCATTGTCTACCAATTTCTAGCCTGAAGCCTTTAACCCCTATACCAAACTGGCTCTCAGAAAATAATTAAAAAGAAATTGCAATCGAAGCAACATATCAAAACATTAATAATTATAACCAAGGGAGTTTCATCCACCCTACCCCAAGGTCTGGGATAGAAGCCAAGTTTTGAAGGCTTCTTCTCCTTGTAGTTCAGTGAATTAGGAGGTGTCTGTCTGAGCCACTTCTGAATATCATCTGTCTGTTGTGGTTTAAAATCTGTTTCATCCCTTGTCATCCTGGCAACAGATCATACATATTTCTGTCAAGAGCATCTTTCTTACACTCTTTACATCTTGAGAAATTCTGAGAAATCAGCTTCCCAATTTCTCTGCTCACAGATTTGGTAGATATTCTTCAAAGGCTTTTAATGGCTTTTTCCTGTAGCTCTGGCCATACTGATGCCACCTTCTTCACTCTTCTTCTTAAGGTAGAACATGGACCTTCAATTGAGGGCTTTCCTCTCAATGATTTTCTGATATTGACCTTAAGGGGAACATCTGCGAAAAGACCATTGAGGAGCAAAATAAAGCATTATTTTTTTCTTCTGCAGGGTCAACCAGGGCCAATCGGGAACCAAGGATCAATGGGCATTGAAGGCTTTCCTGGACCAGAGGGAGTGAGAGGACTGAAAGGAGAGAGGGGTGTATCAGGACCACCAGGTGCAGCTGGAATGAAGGGAGACAAGGTAAGTTCATTCATGCTTTTAGGGTTCTCACACACCTTCAAAGTCAATCCTGTTTTTTTTCCTTCTGCTGTAGTGGCAATCTTAAACCTTGCTGTGTCCTTTGGGATACAAAACAATATTTAATATATCCAGGGCAATAAAATTACTGGAAGTTCACCAGTTATCCTGTCTGTGTGTCTGTGTCTGTCTAATCTATCTTATCTATCTATCTATCCATCCATCATTCACCTATCTATCCATCCATCCATCCATCTATCCATCTATCTATCTATCTATCCATCCATCCATCATATCTATCCATCCATCCATTGTCTGTCTGTCTGTCTGTCTGCCTGCCTGCCTGCCTGCCTGCCTGCCTGCCTGCCTGCCTGCCTGC